TTATTTGTGGAGTGTGACGACTTTATTTGGGGAGTGAGATAGACTTATTTGTGGAGTGTGACGACTTTATTTGGGGAGTGAGATAGACTTATTTGTGGAGTGTGACGACTTTATTTGTGGAGTGTGACAGACTTTATTTGTGGAGTGTGACGACTTTATTTGGGGAGTGAGATAGACTTATTTGTGGAGTGTGACGACTTTATTTGGGGAGTGAGATAGACTTATTTGTGGAGTGTGACGACTTTATTTGTGGAGTGTGACAGACTTTATTTGTGGAGTGTGACAGACTTTATTTGTGGAGTGTGACGACTTTATTTGTGGAGTGTGACGACTTTATTTGTGGAGTGTGACGACTTTATTTGGGGAGTGTGACGACTTTATTTGGGGAGTGAGACAGACCTGGCCTGGATTTGCTGGTCAAGGTTGTGTTGCATTCTCATGCCGAGTTGGTCAAGCTGGTCCCACTGCTGAGCCAGGCCCACTGTGCTGTGTTCTGTGTATCTATTGTCCAAGATCAGCCGCTCCTCCATCGCAGCACCGAGATCTTCAATCCTCTTAAGCTGGCCCTTCTGTGCTCGCACCTCTGTCGCTTTTTTCTGTACAAAATAGACATGTTAAGTATGAACAATCATACAGACAAGATGAATAATTTGAAAACAGCAATATATGTAAGTAGGTCTTATCAGCGCAAACAGGTGTCTATATTTTTTTATTGATGCATTTTAATACTGACAGGTACAATTCCCTAGCTTTCTGCGACTGATACGGCCATTCAAATGGATAGATTATCATTACCCGAGTATATTGTAATAATGATAGTACACATAATTTTGTCTACAAGGTAAATTCATATCATATCAGTAGAGCATTCTAATCAAACAGACTTTTTTATTATTCAATTAACACTAGAACAGACCTTTGTTATAAGAAATATATTGACACTGGTCTGAAACAACATGTCCTAAGCATCTAGTCTCTCTCCAGTTTCACAAAATCTGTTTGCATATTCAATCACTGAGTAATTTCAAGTTACCTTAGTGGCCTCCAGTTGGTCTTCCAGTGTGCCTGATCCCTCCATCATCGCTGCCCTGTAGACATAGAATAGGAAATGAGCAGGGAGGCCGGTGTGTGTTATTATACATCAGAGGCTAGACATACTACCATCAGGATATCAAACAGATCTCAGACAGAAGTCAAACAGATCTTAAAGAGGTCAAACAGATCTCAGTGAAGTTAAAAAGATCTTAAAGNAAGTTAAACAGATCTTAAAGAGGTCAAACAGATCACAGTGAAGTTAAACAGATCTTAAAGAGGTCAAACAGATCTCAGTGAAGTTAAACAGATCTTAAAGAGGTCAAACAGATCTGAGTTAAGTTAGGGACAGTGTTAATTCTTGTATGAATAGAGCGAGGGAGAAATCAGGGTAGAAAGGGATTTATTGTGTCAAATTTCAAAGGAACATTTATTCATACTTTCATTGCATAGTGCTAGTCTTCAACTTCAATGAACACTTTTTTTTTTTAACCAGACAGAAATGTTTCTAGAGACTTTTCAAATGTAGCAAAATTTAGTAGGTGTTGTAAATTTTCAGCTAATCACAATATTCATTTATTTTAGCTTTTCAATCATGCATGTCAATACCAAATGTGCATGTAGTTGTTTTTAGTTACAACAATTGGGTTTTGACAAAAAATAGAAACCATTACATCTATCACCACGGAAACATATAAATCTCCCATTGTTATCTGAAAGAAGACGGCAATACACCATGCATTCCCGCTGTTACCCGTGTTAGTGGGACCAGTATCCTGACTGGGTTAGTGAGACAAAGATTTATCACTGGATGTAATCAGGAACAGCCTGTGATTCAGGTATGGCATTAGTAAAAGGAAACGAGAGCCAGGAGAACAATTCCCCAACAAAATGTCATGCAGTATGGCAAGGTCATCACAAGGTCATCACAAGGGCCTAACTAAACAACAAACGGTTTGGATTTCTAACATTACCCTGAACTTTTCTCAAAAGAAAATCACAGCAGAGGTTCAAACAAGGTGTGCATAGCAACCAGTCAAAGGCCTTGGTTATTAATTGTGACAATAAAAAGAGGAACAGATATTTTGAAATTGAAAGAGTCATTCTTCTGAAACTCAGTAGACAGTGATGCCCAACAATTAGTAAACTTATCTGTACAATTTAAACCTACATTTATTAATTGAAGTTAAATAACTATCTCATAGTAAATGAAGAATATCTACCATTAATAGGAAAAAACACCTTGGTTTTGTTGGTGAAAAACAACACTTAAACACCATGCCCAATTTTCAAAATGTTTGTAACAAACACTGGACAACCTATATCTAAACGTAGGTTTTGTCTCCATAGACACTGCTTAAGTTTGTTACCACAGAGCACAGGTGGAACTGAGATTCTGGAGACCATTTAACAACAGAGAACAATTACTATTTATTTCGTTTTTTAAAAATTTATGAAATATTTTCTCTATGATCTTCTCAACAGCATTTTGATAATAAACAAGAGCCTTTGCCAAAACACTGATTTTTTTTGTGTTACCAGTTTTTTAATAAATCTTAGGCTACCAATTAATCTCAACTTCAAATTTACAGAAAATAAAAGTTTGACAAAAAGCATGAAAAGAAAATGAAAAAAACAAGAAAGCAAACTGGTAGAGAATCAAGGATGCATGACATGCAAGAAGGGAAATAAAATAGTAACCCGTCCAGTAGCCAAAGACTGATGAGAAACAGAATCATCAACGGGCAACGAGTTTACGAGGATACACAACGCGATATGAAAGAAAAACCATCAATAAATCAAAAACTTGACAATAAACTTATTTTTGATAAAGCATATAGTCTAAGGGAACTTTATACCTGCTGCTGAAGTAATCTCAACCCTGGTCAATGTTACCGTCAGTCATTGGTGGCAGTAAATACTGCCCCATTAAGAATTCAAAGGCACTTTTGCTTTTCTAAATATAAGTGCATTAGATTAGGCCAAAAAAAATTAATAACTTGGTTCTCAGGCCAATTTTTTTTCAAAAGAGATGCGGCAGGGAGGTATTTTTTTTCACATTTTACATGGCAAAAATGAGACAAGGGCGATTTGTTTTTTATTGTGAAGTTTGTAAAATGTTCATTGTGGGCATTACCTTGTCTATAGTTGTGTAGAGAGACCCGTCATAGAGCAAGCCTCCGAAAATCCCCCCACGATGTTCCAGACCAGACTCAGGAACCCCCCGTTCCTTATTTGTACCGAAATGAGTGCCATTTGTACACGAGACTAATAAGTCATAATCGTTTTAATGCTTGCATTTATATCAAATTTCCTTATATTTATTCAAATGTTTACCGGACTTGGGTGACGAACGAGTAAAAACGACATGCGGATCAATTTTCTGGATTTTTTTAAAGACGGCGGCTGGCGCATTCACAATTTTTTTATTATTACTTTTACGATAAAATCGGTAATGCGGTGCCCTAAAATGAAATGCGCGCGGGCCTGACAACCAAGTAATCAAATTTTTTTGGCCTTACTATCCACAATTCCGGTTGTCACAAAACAACATGAGTTTAACCACTATTTCACAATGAGAATTTTACTGCTTTTCTCCAATCGATTTGAAAGAGAAACAATTAACTTCAATAAAATTTGATCTTGCCGAGCATTAACAGTTTGCAAACAGGTTATAAAGTTTTAAATTGAAATATTAAATTGAAGTAATATAGTTAAGTGGCTTGGCAAAGTGGAGATAATTACTTTACGCAGCAGGCAAAAAGTTAAACATTATCATCAATAGAAGTTCTTCATGAAAGCTATAGTAAAAGTACATTTTATAGAAACTGTAAAGAATGTTCAGCTACAGAAGTTGTACTTCATAAATACTATAACAGTGTACACATCAAACTAATACACTGAATACGTCCAGAATATCTAAATAAATAAATAAAAACTGGTTATACTTTAATCTAAATACATAAAACACAAACTGAACAGAATTATATCTCTATATATCAAACACAAACTGAATAGAATTATATCTTCACACACATATATATATATATGTATACAATTCGTATAAATAGAACATTATTGTACTTGAATAAAACGAAACAGTAAAAAACTACAAAAAACCCACCCCAGCCTTGTTCACCTTCACATTCATTCCATTAACTAAATTTCGTGTTGTAGACCCAGAACAAGAGAATATAAAATGTACAGGGCGGTGTGGGTTGTGGGATACATACCGTGTCTCTGTAAGCCATGAGTGGAAGGCATTGGCAGCTTGGGCAAATTGTTTACGTAGCTGATCGTTCTCCTCCTGGCGCTGTTGTTCATTGCTAAGGTCTACGTCACGCTCCTGTAAAGAATGTAATCATGTGTCAATACATACATCAATAATGTGTCAATACATACATCAATAATGTGTCAATACATACATCAATCATGTGTCAATACATACATTAGTAATGTGTCAATACATACATCAATCATGTGTCAATACTTACATCAGTCATGTGTCAATACATACATCAATCATGTGTCAATACATACATCAGTCACGTGTCAATACATACATCAATCATGTGTCAATACATACATTAGTAATGTGTCAATACATACATCAATCATGTGTCAATACTTACATCAGTCATGTGTCAATACATACATCAATCATGTGTCAATACATACATCAATCATGTGTCAATACATACATCAATCATGTGTCAATACATACATCAATCATGTGTCAATACATACATCAATCATGTGTCAATACATACATCAATCATGTGTCAATACATACATCAATCATGTGTCAATACATACATCAATCATGTGTCAATACATACATCAATCATGTGTCAATACATACATCAATCATGTGTCAATACATACATCAATCATGTGTCAATACATACATCAATCATGTGTCAATACATACATCAATCATGTGTCAATACATACATCAATCATGTGTCAATACATACATCAATCATGTGTCAATACATACATCAATCATGTGTCAATACATACATCAATCATGTGTCAATACATACATCAATCATGTGTCAATACATACATCAATCATGTGTCAATACATACATCAATCATGTGTCAATACATACATCAATCATGTGTCAATACATACATCAATCATGTGTCAATACATACATCAATCATGTGTCAATACATACATCAATCATGTGTCAATACATACATCAATCATGTGTCAATACATACATCAATCACGTGTCAATACATACATCAATCATGTATCAATACATACATCAGTCATGTGTCAATACATACATCAATCATGTGTCAATACATACATCAATCATGTGTCAATACATACATCAATCATGTGTCAATACATACATCAATCATGTGTCAATACATACATCAATCATGTGTCAATACATACATCAATCATGTGTCAATACATACATCAATCATGTGTCAATACATACATCAATCATGTGTCAATACATACATCAATCATGTGTCAATACATACATCAATCATGTGTCAATACATACATCAATCATGTGTCAATACATACATCAATCACGTGTCAATACATACATCAATCATGTGTCAATACATACATCAATCATGTGTCAATACATACATCAATCATGTGTCAATACATACATCAATCATGTGTCAATACATACATCAATCATGTGTCAATACATACATCAATCATGTGTCAATACATACATCAATCATGTGTCAATACATACATCAATCATGTGTCAATACATACATCAATCATGTGTCAATACATACATCAATCATGTGTCAATACATACATCAATCATGTGTCAATACATACATCAATCATGTGTCAATACATACATCAATCATGTGTCAATACATACATCAATCATGTGTCAATACATACATCAATCATGTGTCAATACATACATCAATCATGTGTCAATACATACATCAATCATGTGTCAATACATACATCAATCATGTGTCAATACATACATCAATCATGTGTCAATACATACATCAATCATGTGTCAATACATACATCAATCACGTGTCAATACATACATCAATCACGTGTCAATACATACATCAATCATGTGTCAATACATACATCAGTCATGTGTCAATACATACATCAGTCATGTGTCAATACATACATCAATCACATGTCAATACATACATCAATCATGTGTCAATACATACATCAATCATGTGTCAATACATACATCAATCACGTGTCAATACATACATCAATCACATGTCAATACATACATCAGTCATGTGTCAATACATACATCAGTCATGTGTCAATACATACATCAATCATGTGTCAATACATACATCAATCAT